AGAGATAATAAATTATATGTATGAAGGGGTATATATTATTTAACAAAGTGGGTGAGAGGAAGGCAGCAGAAAAAATAGTTTTCATTTAATGAAGAGACTCTGGGACAAAAGCAAATGATAATTCCATCAGGCAGGATTTGAAGGATATTGGAGAGAGAAAAGTGTGGCTCAAGAGATCATCTAATTTATCTCACTGGTGATAAAATGAGCCCAAAGACTATTTCTAAATGGCAGATAATTCTGATCTAAGGAGTGTCTCTTACATATAATTTAAAAGGGAAAGGAATTTGTACTGTTATTATTAATAATAGAATATTTTACTCAAAAATTCAGGAACTTACTATTCCTCTAGTCAAGTTTTTCTCAGATTGAGGAAAGTTAGGCACAAAATGTGAAGCCATTTTAATGTTTCATATGGGCCAGAAATCGTTTTCTTTTTCCCAAGAGACCAAAGTAAGAGGCAAGAAGTATAATAAGTTTTATCAGGAATGTGTGAGTTTGTGATATAAACACTTGAGGCAGCTCTGTTTTTTATTATCTAACAGCTGTTCTGTCACAACTTAGCATTTCTGCCAGAGGAGCCTGTAAGAACTCTCTCATATACCTTCCTACTTTGCTCTCAAGCCAAAATTCATCTCAAACCCTAAAGTGGCAAAGGTTACCTAACATGGCTGTATAGATTAATTGTAGAACTTTCCAGGAACAACACTGTGTAGCAAAATAAGGAAAAATTAAACAAAAATCTCTCTGCTCATGATGTGTTTGCTGGTGTTGCTCTGTTCCCTACATTTCTGTTCCACTTTTTTTAGCTGGAGTTTCAGTTTTCAAATGACAAGACTCATAAAATTTCTACTTACATCCTACTATGCCTTTCCAACATTTGTCAAGGAGACTTTTATAATTTTTTTTGAGTAAGAATTATCCTGTTCCTAATTTTTTCCTGCTTGAATATACTTTGTCCTCCTTTAAACATCTTAATGTATCCTTTCTCTTTTTTACATTTTCAATCATTATAGTTTTTAACTTTTGCATGAGCAGGCTGGTCATCCTTAGCTCTTAATCACTTTCAGGATTATTTTTCCATAACATTAGTTTCACCTTTCTAGATGTAAATTCACCAGGATCTTTGCAGATCTGATGACATCCTGGCAGGAAGAATGGGATCAGCCTGACCCTCATGGAGTCTCTGGGCTGCTCAGATGTTTTTTGACAGAACTTGAATGAATGTCTTTCATATTTGACTGTCCATTACCACCTCATAGTAGAATTCTGTAGACATCTAGTCCATTTTCTGGGTTCATGGTGGGTTTGGTCCAAGAGGAAGGTGCAGAGGTTGAACCCTTGACACATGTCCAATTTGTCCCAAAGGCAGGAAGCCAGAGTCACAGGGCAGTTGAAATGTTTGGGTATTTTTCACATGGAGCAGAGCAGTCTAACTAGTGGCCTAGGAGTGGTTCAAGCTCATGGAGTGCTCCTGGCCAGCACACCATGTGCTTCCCAAGGAAATGCTGTCCAAACAGCTTATAGCCCTGTCTGTGCTGTAGCAGTCAGGCTAGACCAGGCACAGGTACAGCTGGGATGGGGGTGGCTGGAGGTGAGTGAGAGCTGTGAGGGGGACCCAGCCCTCTCTCTGGACCATGCACAGAAAGAGGAGTGATATTCAAAATTCTCAGTCCATCCTGCCTAAGCAAGGGAATCTGAAATCATATCAAATACCTTAGAAAGCTTAGAACCTGAAGAGAAGTGGGTCAGATCATGTGGTTGGATTTTATGACTAATGTGTATCCAGAGGGCAGAGCTAGGTATGAATGACATTTACAAAATGTTCTTTTACTTTCTTTTTGACTTCTGAGAAATGTCTGTTGGAGAGTTGGATTTAGTTGTACACCAGGAGAGAATATAGAAAGACTTCAATAAAATATCTCAAACAAAGAAGGCTGTCTGAAAATTCAATGAAATACAGTGCCCATTCTGAAAGATGTAAGAACCAGTCAAATTCACTCTTGATGGGAAGCTATCCACAAAAAAATAAGATAGACTTGGATGAAACACATGGGGGCTAGGATTCCCTTCATAATAACTCTTCAAAACTCCATTGCCTGAAGTGTTCACAAGTAAAGGGAAAAGGTGCAAAAGAGCTCCCTGAAACACGTTAGGTGAAAGGGATAAAAGGCAAGTCAAACTGAAGAAAAAACCTATAGAGTTCAAACCAAAGCAGTAAAAGCAGGCACTAGAGTAACTGTATGAGACTTTCAGAGTAGATAATATCACTGAAAACAGAGAACTCAGCTGTGGGACTGAGATGCAGGGAGCATCTCAAGATTCAAAACCACATTTAATTTGTAGAGAGAAAGAATGAGCTTACAAAATGATCCATTGTAAAAAACTAATGGAGTGGCTCTGTCTCCAGTGGCAAATTCATCCCTGTGTTACAAGAGAACAGACAACCAGTACTAGAGGCATGGGTAACAAAATGGACACATCTATTAATAATGCTAAGGTGTTTGCCATCCGAGAAACCCTACAATGGCTCTGTGACACAAATGGGTATGAGCTAATGCTTGTGACATCCCTGTGATGAAAGGGGTGCTCTCATTTGTCACACAGTAGATGAAGCAACCTACCTATGACCACATTTCTTTAGCTATGATTAGATCTCACGACCTTCTGCCTCCATGTCCTCTGCTCTAGTCCATAGTTCAGTATTAAATGAATCTGTGAATGAAATACTGAATTTACATCATAAATAAAACAGAATTGTTCCAGCTGGCTCCCAGGGGTGCAGAGAATCTAAAGAAAGTCTGGCAACAAACAAATCAAAAGGAAGAGAAACTAAATCTCTTCAGCACTTAGGGAGTGAACAAGGACAGATACTGGTAGTTAGAAAGCAAGTGTAGCTTGGTGACATTTTTTCCCAGGATGGACCGAGAACACAAAAGCACCAAAATATTTGTTCTACAGAGCTGAACTGGACCATAAGCAAAGAGGAAAGCCTGTATTTATGACAAAAAGTAGAAGTCTGAGAGGTGCATCGATGGTTGGTCTAGTTTTCTCATTTGACAAGCTGAATGTAACTATACATTGAAAGAAAGAAATGTAAATGTAGGGAAATGGATTGCTGCTCAGAGAAAGATTTGGAGGGAGTGACTGGGAATACAGAGATCATGAGTGGGAAGATGAGTATTCTGAGAACTTAAAACACCTAGAAATTCTATGTTCCCATTATTTATGTTTCATTTATCTATATGCTTATATGTACACATATCCACCTATATCTGTATATATATGTGTCTATATTTCACATAACATCAAGGGCTAGGAATTAATTTTTATAATTTTTTCTCATTATTCTTTTGCTAATGATGACATTAATGAAGAATACTTGTAGCCAAGAGGAAATGCTGACCTCCCCTAACTGGACATGATTTGATTAGGAGCATAATAGTCCAGGCCTCACTCTAATGCTTAATTGTTAGACAGTTTTTCTTGCCAAGATCTTTGCTCACTAGTGCATAAATGATTCTTCCAGCTCATTGTTTGATGTTTTCTTTATGTGAATTATTGGATGGTCCACAGTCCATATACATGGATTCATTTATGTGGGCTCTGTGTAAGGATTACAGAGCAAAGGACTTACAAGTTTTCCTCTGAAAGTTTTAAGGATAAAAATTTGGCTGCAAGTTAGCAAGCAACTGGCTATGAGGCAAAACAGAGAAGTCAAATTCTAAAAGCATAAAGTAGGGATGATCTCTTTATAACTGGTCTATCTATTGTCAGCAGAGTACCACAGGTGGTAGGTAAAAAACCCATATGCATATCTATGTCTTGCACTGAATCCTCTCCCATGCAGTTTTTCACAATGAATGGCCCAGGCAAAGCCAAAGAGATGGGTAACTGTGTAGATAATAAACCATGTGTTTCCTACGTTACCTACAGAAATAGACATGTAATTTCTACATACAGGAAACTGGCCTTAAAAAGTGACTTGGAGAAGGTTAATAAGGCATGGACATTCTCTGCCTCTCATAACAAAGAAAGTACAGCATCAAATAAAATTATCAGGTGGCAGGCTAGAAACAAAACTAAAGAAGGCAGTGCACTTTTTGCACTTTGTAGAACTCATTGCCACAGGATATTGTGGACACTGAGTATGTGGTTGAGTGTAGAAAATACTAAGACAAATAAATGTTAAGAAAATATCAGCAGGGTATGTTATACCAAAAATGCCATTGTAGTTCAGGTAGTCCTTGAGCTTCAGACTTTTGAATGCTGACAGATTATGCCAGGAAAGTATTCTAAATGCTTGTTCTGATTTTATAGTCCTTCCTTCAAATCTATTGTTTACCACAATTGGACCATGCTGGGTGGACCTTAGCATGGTTGGCTTGATGCTGTCAGAGAAATCTTGCTTTTGATGCTTAATTTAATATTTACTACTTGCAGTAATTATATAGAACATCATCTGTATTTTCCCAATATCCTGTGGAAAGGGTAAAAACCCCAGTTTAGTAAATATCAAGGTTCCTTTTAAATGTAATTATGTTAATGTTTGATTTACACAAATAATGATGCTTTATAATTTCTGGGATGTTATCTGAAAATCTATATAAAATGTAAAGAGGTATTTGAAAGAAATTCAGTATAAGGCTTTTAAGGATCTAGATTTTTTTTCTTGACCATGTGTGGTAGATCATTCAAAACCCTTGTTAAGATGGAAAGTATTTCAAGTACTAATATTCCCAGCAAATGAGCCCTAATAATTCAAACATTTATGCACATTTATGATCATGTGACATTTCAGAGTAATCCTATTGAACCTTATGATGTAGATAGGTTTTGAAAAGTGGGATATAAGTGTGCGTAAAGCTGATGTCTAAACAAACTTTCTAAAGATCAGCATATGCTGGTCTTTTAATTTTGACTCCTGTGTCCATTGTAATTGGTTTTTCTATGTTATAAGTAAAGAATCATCCTAACACAGTCCTGTTTTTGTAATAAAGTGGATTTTTTTGAAATATCTGAACTGTCAGTGGTGATGTGTAGGACTCCAGGTGCTCCTGCTCATGGTATTGTGGAAGGAGATGACTTTAAATACGGGGCCCGGGTTTACTTCAAGTGCAACGCAGGTTACAGCTTAAAAGGCAGCCGTGTTGCCTACTGTCAGCTTGATGGGATTTGGTCAACACATCATCCTGAATGTGGTAAGGTCACTTTAAGTTTTAATTCTTATCAAATCTTTTGGCCAATGTATTCCCATGAAACTAGACTATCAATTTCTTGCTTGAAATTTGGTAGGTCTGTGACATAACATGTCCTTTTGTCTTCCTGTCTTTAAGAAGCACTAGGAATTCTTATTTTACTCTGCTGGAACCCCAGCCTGCAAGACTTTTTTATATAAAGGTCTGACTGAAACATCACTTTACTGAAAACTAATAACCTCAAAGTCTTTAGGCATGTATCCTTCTTACACATAGAAAATGTCTAGGACCAAAGCCAAGTGAGGGACATAGTGCAACAATGAATAGTTACTTCCATTACTCTGTGTGTCTGACACTTTCTCTGCAGAAGCCTGGTGCACTCTGTGGAGGTGAATAGGAACTTACTGTGTGAACACTAGACTCTTATTTCAATTCCCATCTTAGACAGAAATTGATGTAAAAGAAACTTCCATTGATTCTGACTGTGCAGGATGGCATGCCTACCATTCACATTGGTTTGGCTGTGAAATTCCTTCTTGACATCCAAAGAGACTTTAAATTTCCTTTAGTTGATTTGCATTGCATAATTTCATTTTCGTGTTCCAGAATAATTTGTTTCAATTGATAAAGTGTTTTCTAAGTGTGTTATGTCAAACAATGTACATTTTGGGGGGAGTGTTGTAAAACAAATAAGTTCATTTGAAAGAGCAAGCAATAGGTATTCTTCTATCTAGAGAGGTCTCCAATTGCAGTAAATGTAACGTCAAGATCATGCCAAGTCCCTGCTGCATGATGGCCCTGGCTAAAGCTCTATAGAAAGAGCTGTCTCTAGACTTGGCAGTCACTGAACTGCTAGGTCTCTCCTTCCCAGATATTTCCTCTGTGTTTTTAATAAATCAAAAAGGTCATAACCCTGAGCCTAAGGAAGGAGACAATTACTGTCAAAGTACTGAAATAAGAGAAGGCCTTAAGTGATTTACATGGTCAAGCTTTTGGTACATTTGGAAACAGGCACTGTGGTGATCAGATGATGCCTCCAGGCCAGCCATCAGTGCAGAAAGCAACTTGCAAATAAAGCATTATTCTGTGGGGGATTCTCTGTAGTCTTTAGCTGCTATCAAGTTATCAGTCACTTATGGTTCACAACTGAGAGAGCCTGTGGAGGTACACAGGAGGAAAATGGAACCAAATAAAAAGGAGACAGGGCTCTGCTTTTCCCTTTCTCCTGATGGAGAGGAGGTTCAGAAATCCTTGTTTACTAAATATAACTTGTGGAAAAGTATTTAAATACATTTATAGTCTTCAGCATATGCTAAAATCTTATGCTTGCAAAGAAAACACTGAAATATAGACTTGGCTTGAATGCTATACTCACTGTTAAAAGCACATGCTCTTCATTGGTGTGGAATTGTTATGGCTGGCTGTGTGTTCACACGCTTTGCTGAGCTGGGCTTTGTCTGGGGGCACAAGGTATGACTTTGTGACAGGACAGGGCCATACCTTTGCACTGTAACTGTGCTGATTTCACAGCACTTTAAATAAATGTCTGAGTGCTTTGTTATATGTTGGTGCTTTTGTGAACTGAGGCTCAGCAGGCAGCCAACTCTGAAGCACTGATATGAAGAGGTAATTTTGGGTCAATTGATATGTCCCAGTCCTCTGGGCACTCTGTGAGCAGCACCAACACCAGCTGTCTGAACTAGATGTGCACTGGTTATCATGCACTGAGGCACCAGGCAGAGAAATTAAATAGGATTGCATGTTAGTGGTGTCCTGACAAGAAAACTGAGGTGAAATCCAAAGGGAAAAAAAATGTACCTTGTCAGCTATAGAAAGAGCAGAGGAGTTAAAAATAAAGGAAAAATCATCTTCTAGCATCACATAGTGAATACTGTCCTCCAGATTTAGGCCAAAAATATAAGTTTATTGAGAAAATAACACCAGAAAAAACCAAAAACACAACAAGAATTTAAAATAAGTGGAAAATACTGGGAAGGAGGAACTAAAAGAGGTTTTATAGGCAGAATATAGCGTGAATAAGCGTTTCATATTAAATTTTTATTGTCAGTAAATACATACATATGTTCTCTTTCAATTCATGTATTTCCCTGGATTATTGAGATATCTCTCTCAGTGCTAAGAAAACAAAATGCAACCAAACATAAAAGCAAAATTAAGTAGTCTAGTTTTATATCCAAGTGCAGTGAAGTATTGAAAATACAGAAAATGGAAAAGAATGCCAAAGGCCTGTTTCCTGCAAATAATTTCAGTGCAGCCTTTTATGCTGTTGAAGAAGCCTTGTTAATATTAATGGGACATTAACATCATAGAAAGTCAAGGTTCTTTTTCAGGATTGTCAGCTACTTCTTAAGGTTTTAACAATTTGAGAATTTTTACCCATTTGAGAATCTTATGCTTTTAGCGAGACTGAAATGTGTATTATAAACAGACATCCCTATATTATAATTTCTTCTTTAATATTTGACATTTTCAAAAACAGCAATCCCAGATGGGTCTTGAAAAGGCATCTTTAATAAAGTGTAGATTGTTTAGTAACATCTGAATGAAATGCCAAGCAATTTGATGGGTGAAAATAACGTAGTGAACCTAATAAAATGGTTACTATCTTTTTCCCCTATCATTAGTTCTAGAAGAAAAAAACTGCTCAGATCCTGGTGGTCCACTCAATGGCTACAGAAGAGTAGTAGAAGACACTGGGCTCTTGAATGGACGCTATGCAAAAATTGGCACAGTCATTGCTTTCTTTTGTAACAACTCGTATGTTCTTAGTGGCAATGAACAAAGGACCTGCCAAGACGATGGAGAATGGTCAGGGAAGCAACCAATCTGCATAAAAGGTAGTTTATAAACTTTTTTACCACAACTCATGCAGGCTGCTATGGTTTTACGGGATTGTGTTTAATATCATTTGCACTGAACAAATGATCATATTTGCTAAGAGTAAGCTGTCTGGCTGATACCTGATACTGAGTTTTGTAGTTTGCCAGCTCTGCTGGCTGCTATACTCAGACAGAGAAGTTGCCAATGATTCCAGAAGATTCCATCTTTGGACAGGGAAAGGAATGTTCCCTAAGACCCTTATTATCCTCATTCTAGGACTGAACCTGCGTAAGATCAAGATGAAAGAAGGTCAGGAGGGAATTGAAATAGAATGAAATATTTGTCTCATGAGACTGTTAATAATCAGTTGCTGTCACAGGGAATAACTGTCCTTTCACAATCCTTTTAAAACAATGGGACCAGTCATGAATGCAAAAGGCAGAGCCTGTACAATATGATTAAATATATGTATTCACCAAAACACTGTATCACACCTTTAAATCCTGGAGGTATTCTACTAAGTGTATATGAAACCCTGAGTGAGTGAGTGAATGAATGAATGAATGAATGAATGAATGAATGAATGAATGAATGAATGAATGAATTTGGGCTGGGGAACTGCTAAATTCATTTTATGAACACAATTTCTTGACATACAGATTTTTAAAAAACTGAAATGATGATAATATAAGGAAATATGTCTGTCTCCTGGGCAATTTGCTTTAATTCTGTTGCTTTAGATGAAAATAATCTCCCTCTGAAGCATGCAGTCATCTGTGGAAAGCATCTTTATTGATGCTTACTGTGATACTGACATAATGGTTAACACAATCACAAAGAACCAGATATTGTTAAATTACACAGAGGACAAGGCATACAGATAAAATCCATCCTGCAAGATTCCTTTTCTTCCATTCAGGGCAGCAGGAAGGAGACCCTGGCAGAGTTAATTGAACTTGAATATTTTATCCTAATCTTAAAGTAAGTAAACTGAATATGCCAAACTAGAAACCTTAGATCTCCTTTCTGTTATTTTACACATATTTAGGTAATTCTGAAGTGTTCCTTTGAATCAGAGCCTCCAATTCCTTCCATAAGTGCACAAACAGACTCCTAGAAGTGCATACCTGCAGCGTTTCTCTGTATGCCAATTACCTGTGTGGGGCTACACAGATAGAAATGAAGCATTTTTATATATAATTCCATTACTGGAAAAGTTTGCTCTGATACAAAACCATCCTCCATAGTGGTGCAAGTGTGGCATTCAGACACACTGAATGATGGAAAAAACTTCCTCCATGCCTGAAAGTGCCAATGCAGACTAGTTCAGAAGCTTCCACTGTTGTAAATGGGATAGATCCTGTGAACTGTGAAGAAGTATTTTTCCAAGGATTTAGGTTTTAGGATTGTTAATGCTCGTAACTTAACTGCCTCTTTTCTTAATCCAGTCCACTATAGTTAGAGAGAGGAAAGGTTGGAAATGTGCATGAACCATAGCACTTGAGCTGTGAATGTGAAAAAGTACTGTGCAACATTATATCTTTTCTAGCCTGCAGAGAGCCAAAGATCTCTGACCTGGTGAGACAGAAAGTGCTTCCAATGCAGGTTCAGTCAAGGTGAGAATGCAATATGTCAACTACAGTTTAAAGAAAAAAAATGTGATTGCTTTTCCCCTCCTCTCCTTTTCACTCCATGTGTTTAGCCTGCCTGAGCAGTGACTCCTACAAATCCACTGATAATTGGGCAATGAGAGCTGCTGGGAGGGGAGGTCTGATTAAGCACAGGTTGCCAGTTGCAACCTGGAGGCAGTCAGGAAGAAATGCACAGATAGAGACAGACAAACTACAGGATGATGCTGGAATTCTGCATGCAAGCTTGGGAACAGTCTAAGAAAGTTCCTTGGGGCTAATGATGAAAAATATGAACATGTGCCATCTTAGTGCACAGGGAGAGCACAAGGAGAGAAGAGGGTATGGCAATGCAACCTGCTCCCAGTAAGTTTCACCATCCAAAGCAATACAGCACATTTTAAATAGGCTGGGTATGAGGGAGAGGGTGAAGTAGAGTAGGAGGGGAGGAAGGAATGAAAGATTAGATCCTTCCTGGGCTTACCCTTCTGATGATTTCTTGAAATAAATCCCATCAGAATTAGATATGTTGCAATGTTCAGGTTCATTTTCATCCAAGTAGTAATTTCTCATTTCAGGGTTATTTTTGAAGTACATGACTAATTTAGTATTCAATTCAGTGCAAGAACTGTCCTCATCTTTGGTCTTAAGAACAGTCATATCAGGTCAGAATGAAGGTCCAGCTCAAGCTATATCCTGTCTCTAGCAACGGCCATAATGGCTAGAGAAGATCTGAGGAACAAGGCAAGCATGTACTTCCCAATCACTGACACTCTCCAGGTCTGAGATGCATGATTGGAGAGATGGCCCTGAGAAGCTGACATGAGGCTTTAGTAGCCATTAGGGGATTTTTCTTTCTTAAATTTCTCTATTAAGTTTTGGATATAGGACTTTAATGTTTCAGATATGAACACCAGCTGTATTGAGAGAACATACATGTCCTCCCATCCATAAAATGCCATGAGATGATGGCATCTCATGTTTGTGGACTGTTTTTACTCCCTTGAAGTAGAATCTCCATTCTACCTCTATAGTGAGGTAAAGACTAGATTACGCAATATTGCAAGTCATCTGTGAGTTTGGAATGGTACCCTGGCAGACTAAATATGACCACAGCAGCTCTCATCCTTCTTCCAAAATACAAGAGACTTGCAATTGCTCTTGTTCTTTGTAACTTTACTTTCCTGTTATGTATTGCCTCAAAGATTGGATATGATGGAGGTGTCTGTGTCTCTCTGTGATAAAAAATGAAGTAATCATGAGGAAAAAAAAAAAAAAAGTCTTTTCTGGATGTAGGCAGTACCAGAAATCTCAAGGGAAACTAATTTCCTGCTGAATCTTTCAGGCATAAAAAGGGGTTTTTTTGTAGATATGAGCTTTTAAGCATTAAAGCAAGGGACACATTCTAAATAATAACTGTAGTCAAGCTTATGGTCCATATCTATGGTGGTGCACATATTTATTTCTTAATTATGTGCCCTGTTTCAGCTAATCAGTACAATTTCTAAGTGGAAGCTTAGCAATTATGAAATTATGAAATCTCTGTGGTGAGGCAATTATCTCTGTTAATTGCCAAATCAAGCAACTTTAGCAACATCATTTAATCTGAATCAATTCCTAATACTGTCTATTAAAATATTCACTAGAGAAAAGATGTGTCTATCTCCCCTCTACTGAGAATTAATAATGACAATGCCAAATTCAGGTATAATTTCCTAATTTAAAAAATAGTGTCTCAGTCTTTTTGTGAATGGAAAAAACTTCCACATTCAGAGGCAATTGATTTCAATTCAGAAACTGTAAAATGAAAAAAGAGACACAAATAGGATATGTATAAGCATATGTGTAATTATATATATGTGCAGATATATGTAAATAAAATAGTGGAATGTAAACGGGAGTATTGCTAAACTACGCTGGAATTATGTTTTTTCCTTATTCTTTCATGAGCAAACTTTATGTGATTTTAAATGATACTTAACACAACTGGCGATAAAGTTACGGCAATGATTGCTTTTATAACATTATAATTATTGTGTTCTTTGTGCCTTGAAACAGAGAAACACCTTTGCATCAACTTTACTCTTCTGCATTCAGCAAGCAAAAGCTTCAAATCTATCCAACCAAGAAGCCAGCACTGCCATTTGGAGAACTGCCCCCAGGGTACCAGCATTTGCACACTCAGCTCCAGTATGAGTGCGTTTCTCCCTTCTACCGCCGCCTGGGCAGCAGCAGGAGGACTTGCCTGAAGACAGGAAAATGGAGTGGGAGAGCCCCTGTGTGTATTCCAAGTGAGTCTCCAAGGGAAAAAAAAATGTGCATATCTCTTGGGTGAATGAGGGAACATGACATGTATTCATGTTAGATATTTAGGGAGTCACAGCAGTGTAGGCTGCTTATACTTCCAGCTGGGAGAAAGGAGCAATAAAGCTTGAAGGATATATGTGTCTTTTTATCCACCAGTAGAACTTGATGGTAAAGTGATCAGGCTTTCAGCACTGTAATTTGCCATTAATTTATCTACTCTTTTATTGAGCAAGAGGTATAGTGAGTCTTTCTCTTGATTTGAAATAGCTTTCCACTACCACTTCATGTTTTTCTGTATTATTTACTACAAATGGGATTTTACTTTCATTTTCTTTCATTTTTTCTTTCATATACTTTGGCACACAGCTGACAAAACCATCAAAGTTTAAGCAATAGAAGGGAGAATCTGCAATTTTAAAGAGGCTCTTCCTTTAATAAGCCCTTCTAAGGAAGAGTTCACATTGCAAACTGTAAGTCTAGATAAAATCTAATCTGGAGGTAGTGCACAAAGTTAGTTAGGGTAAGAACGTCACAAGATTTGGTAAACCCCACAACTGACATCAAGCAAACTGTGAAAAGTAGATCTTAACAACAAATTTTTATTGTTCTTGTTTGTGGTTTTACTTTGAGATCATATCATATATTTTGAAAAGTATCGCACTCACTATGGACATGCACACACTGCATATCAGGAAGAAAAAATGCAACAATGCAATGTAACTCTTTCAACTGAAGTTAAACCTTTTATGATAGGGGATTTTACCCCAGTTCCAAGCATGGATGAGCTATTCCTAGAATAAGGCAGAGCTTTTTCTTTTCCCCAGGATGACTGTTGATTTAGATGCATTTGCTTCAACATTCTTGTCACAAGGCAAGTCTGTTCTTATAGGCATGAATTGACCTGTGCAAAGAGTTGTGCCAAGAGAGGCCTCAAAAATACACTGTGACTGCCTATGGTGAATTTTAGTGCACTCATGGCTTTATGGCATTTTATGATAAACAAGAATCAAGGGTGTTCTTTTCATTTCTTTCTGCAGTCATCTCATTATAGTGCAACTCGATAAGATTGCTGTGAAAATTCATCTGCTCAAGTGCTAAATCCACATTCCTACTTTACCCAGGAATTCAGATAATAATGGAAAAGTTGAATATTGTTTTAAAAAGCTATATCAAATACTCCTATAATTTTGCAGGTTAGAGACAGAGGCTAATTAGACAACTGTCCTTCATATTCATCACTGCAGTTTAGTTTATTTTGGCACATTCTAAGAAGGAATTAAGAGTAATGCTCAGATTCTTTTGGGGAGAAAGTGTTACCTACTTTTTGCTTCATGTTCCCCCAGTCTGTGGAAAAGCAGAGAACATCACCCTTAAGAAGGCAGTGACCTCTATGAGGTGGCCATGGCAAGCAGCCATCTATCGCACAGCCAGTGGGGTGAAGGAGAACAGCCTTCGGAAGGGGGCCTGGATCCTGATCTGCAGTGGGGCCCTGGTGAACGAGCGCACCGTGGTGGTGGCAGCCCACTGTGTCACTGACCTGGGCAAGACCATCGTGCTCAAGACAGCAGAGCTCAAGGTGGTTCTGGGCAAATTCTACAGAGATGATGACAGGGATGAAAAGACCATCCAGAACCTGAGGGTGAGTAAGCCCAACAGGAGTGAAAAATGATGAGCACAGGTAGATGCTGATCACATCTGTCTTGTATAGGGACAAAACGTTGACCCTTTGGGCAATGCATTCTCTTACGTGTTGTTCTTTGAAATGCATGTGTAGAGACTCAAGTGGAATGGCATAAGAAGGGCCTATGCTGTAGTTCATTGAATTCCTCGAAGCCATCCAACTCATACTTTCACCCCTAATTAAGAAAATAGCTCAGGTTCTGTGGGCCATAATGTCTTGAGTGATATTGCCAGTAAAAAAGTAGAAGAGATGCCAGCTACTGTCAAAATTGATTAGCATAATTTATGAGGGAAACACTTGTGCTCTAAATCCTGGTTTGATGCCATGAGCACATTTCACTTCTCAGCCCCAAGGCCGTACAGCTCTAAACTGAAAAGAAGTTTGTGTCTGACTCCAGCTCCAAAAATAGCACCTTGGGCTCACCAGAGCGATTTGATTTTTTCAAGCAGAACTAGAAAAGCTGAAATCAAAATGAGAAATACAGCAAATTTGGGTATGTGTGTCTCTTTTTGGGGAGAAATTTGGGGTGTGTGTCTGAGTTAATTAATGGAATTTATCCAAAATACCATAATTAACTTGATGCTTTCCCTCCTGACCCCTTTTTAGTTTCTTTCTCTAATCCCATCTTTTTCATTCTGTTCCTGTAAGAAAATATATTACTTTCTTTTTTTTTTTTACAGTATTTTCTTAAGGAATCCTATCTGTTCTTATAGGATTTCATTAAGGACATGAGCAGTAAAAGTTTGGCCCCAATATTATGTAATGTATTGCATGTTTCCCATTTGAGTGGAAGAACACCATAGATGGGGGTAAAGGAGAAGTATGCAAGATAAACTAAAATGTATTTTGGTAGTATGGAAAGAGTGCTGCTGACCTGCCATTGCTGTTAACCCTACAATTCTTCCTCCTGTGTTTCCTCTCCAGATTTCTGCCATCATAGTGCATCCCAATTATGACCCTATATTACTTGATTCTGATATAGCTGTCATAAAACTCTTGGACAAAGCCAGGATCAGCAGTCGTGTTCAACCCATTTGCTTGTCATCTTCTCATGACTTGACTTCATCCACAGAGGATTTAAAGATAATGGTTACTGGCTGGAAGGTATTGGCTGACGTTAAAGATCTCGGATACAAGAATGACACAATCCGCATGGGAGTTGTTCAGATGGTGGATTCACTGTTGTGTGAGCAACAGTATGAGGATAATGGGATACAAGTCAGCATCACTGACAGCATGTTCTGTGCCAAACAAGACCACACAGCCTTTTCTAATATTTGCCCTGCTGAAACTGGTGGGATTGCTGCCATAACTTTGCCAGGAAAAGCATCTCCTGAGCTAAGGTGGCACCTGATGGGATTAGTGAGCTGGGGTTATGATAAAACTTGCAACCTAGAACTCTACAGTGGCTTCACCAAAGCTCTTCCCTTCAAAGACTGGATTGAGAAGAACATGAAATAAAAATCTGAGTCTGGAAATGGCATTTTATAATATAATATCTCTCTCAGTCTCTGCTACTTTAGGGTTCTCATCCCAGTGATGAGACACATCTGGGATAAGGTTAAGGCAGGCAGCCTGGTAATTTGTCCTAGGATCAGATATTTCATCGGGCTACTTTCACTTAACCCATGACAGAGGGTCTTAGTGCATGAGAAGTTTTGCCATATTTTGTCTGTCTCCCCTGGTGGGAGGACGATGCTCTGCTCCTGAGTCTGACATGCAGAAACAGGACAGTAAATTCTGTCTGAAATTAATCTGTAGTGTGGAGCTCCCTGGAGAAATTGGTGGTGAGCTTCTCCCAAAGATCTGTGTGACTGAGTGGATTAAGAGTCTGGAAAGAGTAGCCTGAATTCATTATGACGGATGAGCTTGTTGTGGTATGTGCTGTCTGTATTGCCATAGTACAATGTAATCTTCTTCCCTCCCAAGTACTTTACACATTTAAATAAACCATGGTTTGTTTTTTTAACCTACATACTCATGTCTGACATTATTTAGATCCATTTTTGCTTTATATGTGTCACACACTTGGAACTCTCTACTGCCCTTGTCTCTTTGCATGTCCCAACTTTCACTTGGGACTCTTCAGGAACACTAAAAGGCAGAATCAGCATAAAATTCAAGGGCTATTTATAAATATAAATAACAAGATTCTTTTTTCTTAATGCACCCATTCCTACTACTGTATATGAACCACTACAATGAAATGTACTGAGAAGATCTCTTTCACCTTGTATTCTAAACAGATGAAAACACGAAACATCTTTTAAATACATTTTTTCCAAGTGGGTTATTTCATAGAACTATGAAAACTTCAGGAAAACTTTTGGTTCCCATTAGTTCCCATACATTTGTGGTAAAACTACTCCTCTGTAGCTCTTCAGGGTAAGAATAATGTCCAGGTCTCAGACTTAGCAGGCACTTTTCTTGAACTGAGGCTGAACTGTCTGACATCAGAGGGCAAGATTCTCCTACTGGGCATTTTGTCCAGGGAGACACCTGAGAACCTTCATTGTCCTTAGTCACTGCTCTTACACTAAATCATTCTCTATTCAATCATGGCTAAAGACTAGGGATTAACCCTATAAAAGTTGGGGAGAAGAGACAGTACTGACTGTCTTCCATCAATAATGATTTCTTGGTAAGTCACATATGACACCCTGGAGTTTTAGGACCTTCAAATTATTACAGTGCCCAAAACAGCTTACAGCAGTAGTTGGATGTGAGGGCTGGGAATCTGATGAAAAGATTTAGTGCTCTTACCAAGAAGGACTCAGATCCTGAAGTTGTGTTCTGCCTATCACATGGCTATAGCCCCTTGAAGTTAGCAAGTCTGATTTCAGTTCTGATTCTTTGCTGCTGTAAAATCTCATTATGAGTTTCTTAGCATTCAGTAGTTTCTACCCACTTTTGAATCTGAAAACTGCTGCTAAAAGGACAAATAGTGTTGGACATCATTCCATGTAATTTATTTTCTATTTTCTTGGCAGAAATACTTGTTGTGTATGCTTTTGCACTTTCCTTGTTTTCACTGGCAATAGGACCACATGATGTTGCTTAAATCAAAAAGTTTAAGGGTTACAATTAAAGTATATTGCTTCTCTTTATCTTGTTTGTCTGTCTTCTCCTGCCAGGAGATTATGCTTGGCTGACAAAGTGCATGGCAACAACAGCAACAAAAATCCTGCATTAAATGTGAAAAACATGATGTGTTTCATTCCTCTGCCGGGAGGAACACATGCCAATGAATGTGTGGTACTCCCCTGCTGACAGAATGGCTTAGAGTAAATTAGGTGTCAGTTTTGGAGAAGCACAAACTTGCAGAAAGTCAACATGTGTTTCTTCCTAACAGCCATTACAAAGAGTGAAATGAGAAAGCTCTTTCATGATTCCATTAAATGAGAGTTTCTACACTCTAAATAATTATTGGATTATTTAATGGTAAACAGAAATTATGAAGACCCGTGAGCTGCTTGTCTTCTCAGTTAGGACACCATGACTGCATTGCTTTCCATAGTATTATTGCTCTCCACTGCTACAGCTGAGAGAGACGAAGTTCTAAATGCTTTTTACTCTTTTTAGGTTTTGTCCAGTCCAAACAGATCTGCAAAAGTCTGGTTTAATTCCAGCCTTAGACCTCACTCTTCTTTTTCTAAAGATCAACTATATTTTAATATATACTGATCCTCTAACTCTTCCTCAGTGTTGAATCCCATCCCCATTTGGCTTCAAATCAGCTGAAAGTTTCTGGGCTTGGACAGCAACAATATAGCTGTTCACTAGCTGTATATCACACAAAAGTACATTCTTGAAGAGAAACTTGTAGGAATTCATGGAATTAAAATCTCAGGAGGTTGCTATAGCTGTGCACACACAACACTATTCAAACCCTTCTTTTCACAGCCATGATGCTCTTCAAAGGAAGCAGAAGTAAGAAGATAGCCAGACACCTGGCTCAGCCCCAGGGTTCATATTTTAGCACAGCCCTTACAGGAGGAGGATGAGGTTGCAGCATTTGCTTCTATTTCTGGACCTCAATCATGTTTGAATCCTAGACTCAAATCTGGCTATCTCTAAATGCCCACATAATGGTTTTTTTTGCTCTGGTTGTATGACATGGGTATTCACATGTACAAGTGAGCAGTCATATCAACATATCCAAGCACCTGTACCATGTCAAGTATTCCCAGGAATTACAAACCAGCTTGTCCATCCTTTTTGTCAGGCTTACTCACAGTAGTTTCCTGCTTACAGACTGAGCAGAACTATGTAGGGGTTAGCATCTAATGCCAATAATGAGGAAAAATAGGGATAAATGTTTGAAAAAAAGCAATGTGTGACCTGGAATTGCTAACATCTTTGATAGCTTGCCTCTATTTTTAAGATGTAGAAGTATTTCAAACATCTCTTTCTAAACAGGTGAGGATCTGTGCCATCTGTTGGAGAAAGGGTGTGAAATAGCACAACATGGATAGCAGCTCATTTTCCCTCCAAGGAAAAAGAGCTGTGCATTCTGGAAAGGCCATAAGGATATTGCTATGGAAAGAGGAGAGCAAAACACTCTCTGCATTCTTATTCCCTCCAACGAGTGTATGTTTTTCCTTTGTATGTTTCAGGGCTGCATTAAATTACTTCCAAAAGCCAGGGCGCTTAGCTGAAAAATAGGAAATGGACATACTGAAATACAAGCTCTTTTCAGGCACTCTCAGTTACTCTCATAGAATTGCCCTTGTAAAAGATTTTTGTTGAAAGCCTACGTCCATGGTAAGATTACAAGAAAAAAAATGTGTATTTGATTAGGACTGGGGATTGCGTGATAGGCTGCATCCTGCCATTTTTTAAGGGCAAGTAACTGGAATTGGCTTGGTTGCAGGAAAAGCATCCTGGGGGAGTGGGAGTGGTGCGGAGGGTCAGGCAGGCTTTGCTCAGCTGTGCAATCCCTGCAGCGTCCCAGCTCCTTATCGTGTCAGGGGGCTTCCGCATGGCTGCTGGCTTTCCGTGCCACCTCCTCGGTGCAGAGGGAACGAGCTGTGGCAGAAATGTTTGTTCCCTGTGAAACGAGACATCAGGTTGGTCAGACTTGGATGGAGAGACAGCACTGAGGTTGGCGGGCAGAGCCCCAGCTGAGGGAAACGGGAGCGAAGGTGTGTGGCAGTGTCTGGGCGAGCGTTCTGTGCTCCAGCACCTGAGTGCGGCTACAGAACAGGACAGAAATTTCCTTCCCTACGCTGCAAAAACGCCCTGGGCGACCCCCGGGCCCGGGTCCGCGGGCCGCGGCCACGCGCGGCGCCTCCGCGGTGGAGGAGCGGGGCGGGCCGGGGCGGGGCGGCGCAGGTAGGGGCGCGGGGCGGGCCCGGCCGAGGCGCGGGGAGAGGCCGCTCCCGGGGGCCGTGCGGTGCGGGGCCCAGCCGGGCCGGGCAGGGCCTGTGGGGCCGCCGGCGGCAGGTGGGGCCCGGGCGCCGCGCCGCGCCCACCTCCCGGCAGGGGGCAGCACCGCCCCGCGCCGCACCCTGCGCGTCCCTGCGGCCGGGGGTCCCGCTCCCGCGGCCCCTCGGTCCCGCCAGCGAGCCCCGGCCGTCCCGGTGGGACAGCCCGGCGCGGACAGCGGCCGGCCGGGCCGGGCCTCCCGGGAGGCTGCTGCCGCCCCGGCGCGGCGGGGCAGGTGCCGCGGCTGCGGGGGCGCAGCCCCTCGGCCGGCCTGTGGGATCCCGCTGCCGGCCGAGCGCCGGCCCGCTCGCCGGGGCACGTGCGGGTGTGCGGCGGCAGGCGGACACCCCGAGCGGGGCTGCGTGTGTGTCTCTCTGTGTGTCTGTCTGTGTGTGTGTGTGTGCGATCGCGCCTTCCCGCGGCTCCCGGCCGCTCCCCGGAGTCCCGAGCCTGCCCCGGGAGGCGGTGGCGGCCGCGGCGAACGGGGCAGGTCGCGGTCGGCGGCGGCGCCCGGCCCTCCTCCTGCGAGGGGCTCGCCGCCGCCCCCCCCCACCCCCCCCCGCTGCCAAGGAGCTGTTGGGGGGGATTTATAGGAGTAACAACGGCTCGTGATGTCAGCCCGTGCCTAAAATAGAGAGGGATTGACTGCAAATCCACGGCTCGAGGGCTAAACCTTCCAATCCAGCCTCAGCCAGCGCCGCGCCGATGTGAAGTCGCCCCCCAGCTCTCGCACACAGCCGCGCAGACACGCACACGCTCCCCACGGCGAGGGGAGGGCGCCGGGGATCGCAGCCCAGGTGCCAGCGCTTCCTCGCCCCGCCGGCCACTGCTGGGCGGCCGCGGCGCAGCAGCGCCGGTCCCTGGGGCACCGAGAGCCTGCTCTGGGACGGCGGGGTGGGGGAGAGCCGAGGAGCGGAGCTGCCGGATCCTCGCCCTGCGGAGCCCCCAGGATTACAAGGAATTGCGTGCTCCTTCCCAGACGTGAGCGAGGGTTATACCAAAGAACCAACCTCCTTCGCGCCCTGCTGTCCAAA